TGATACGATAGCTCACGTATAAAGTTAATTTCGAAAAAATTTACTAAAATAAGGGGAAAAATAGATTTTTGGGTTGAGTTTCATGTAAATGCTGCCTTAATTGACGATACCAACAACTATTAGTTAAAAGCGGGCAAATTTTAAAATGCCCAATAAAGTTACATCAAACTTTTATCGGTGTCTCTGTTAATAGTCAACGTGTAAGAAAACTATTATTAATTAACCCAAAAATTAATTGCTCGTGAAAGCGCAGGATCCTTCAAAAAGTTAATTCTGGTATGTTAACAAGCTAATCTCGTAGTTTGATCTCAATCCACAAGTCATGTATACAACACCTCAGGTAATTGCGTTGGGATACACAATTAGCGAGCAGCCAGTAAGATGAGTTTCTGAGTTTTCTCTGTGGTGCCTTTCTCTATTATTGAAACGTTTCCAATATGCAACTTTTGTGGCGTCGTCTCTTGGTTAACCATCTTGTTTCTACGCCAGTGATAATCAAACATGATTTTACGAAAGACTCGTCAGACAATCTACCAGAATTAGATGTGAAACATGAAAAGGTAGGTTAATTGCTTTTGCAACAATCACTTCTGAGCCAATGATGTTGCGAAAAGAACACGAAATGCAGCCAAAGAGAAGTAATAGAAGAAAGCTGCAGGAGCGCCAGTCATGTATAGTTTAAAAATTTAATCACAATGTGTTTCAGTGTATTTCCTTCGCAGTATATTAAATAAAATACAGGGTGAATCCTGCTTCCGTTACACATTTTGGCAACAGCAGGTTGATGTAAAAAATGTTATATTTAAAGCCCTAAAAAATAACTTTTTTTATAAATCATATATACTTCCTATTGCTGTTTGTAACATACATAATTCTACTTGAAGGTAATTCATTTTTATCTTTTTTTTTTAATAATTCTCTTATCGTTGTTGCTCAGGAGGAACACGGTCGAGAAAATATATTTTCCCTAAAAGAAACCTCGCGGTTTGGATAAGTTGGAGCGAAAAAGGAAATTATTCAGCCTTGAGGCTGTCACCTTAATATAAAATTTATTTAGGCTGATATATATCTACAAATTCGATTTACATTTCCCCATAGGTAGACCTGCCTGGTTGATTTATGTTTGCTAGACACCAAGTCGAGCGTTTTTCCATTAAAATGTAAAAAAGAGCCGTGTAAGGATGGTATGATGCAGGCAAAGGGGAATTTACGTATATATTTCCTCTGCGAGGCGTTACAATTTTTTTATTGAGTATTGTAACAAAAAAAATTAAAAAATTAATAAAATAAACCGTCGCGCGAAAAGTATCAATCAAGGGTTATTTTTATGGAAAAAGTTTCCCAACCAAAATCCTTATAATAAAAAAACTAGATAAATAATAATTCAAACAAACAGTCCAATTATAAGCCTTTAAATCGAAATTTTGGTCAACTTGCCTGAATTTTTGATATGAGTTAGTTTGAGGTATATTATAACAATAAATGACAGTAATTTTTTGTTCAACCCCCGGCCAAGGGTGAAAAAAGGTAAAACAAAGGAGTTTTTCAAGATAACTCAAAAGGGGCAAGCATTAGAAAAAAAGTTGTAAAGCATACAATTCTACATAAAAATGGCATCTTGACTTTTTCTTGTGCTATTAAAATTAACAGAGTTAGGAGGCTAGAAGTTAAGGGAAGATTTCAGAAATTTAAAAAAATCATAACGAGCAGAAAAACGAATGAATTTTGTAATTTTTTTTTAATCTACTCTAAAAATTGTAAAGAGACACGTATTTTTATCGGCGGAAAAACATATTTACGGGGTGAAATACACTCTCAAAGTTCGCTCCCAAAACAGTTTTTTCTGTGGTTCTAATCAATATTTTGAAATGAAACAAAATGGAAATTATTTACAATAAAAAACAAATATTTCTTAAGTGATTCCGTGTTTGGGGGTTGCTACCCTTATTTTTCATTTATAAAAAATATCATATTTACTCAAAAAGAATTAAAAATGTGATTTATGTAAACAAATTGACCTGTTTCGAGGTTTTCGTTAAAATCTCTGTTTAGGGGGGTGAACAACAAATTTGAAATTGTTATAACTTTCTTATTAAAAATTAACAAATATATCTATTTCTCTGAAAAGAAAGGTTATATTTTTTAGACTAGGTAGATCGAAAAAAAAAATTACAAAATTCATTAATTTTTCTGCTTATTATTTTTTTTTTAAATTTCTGGAATCTTCCCTTAACTTCTAACTCTCTTAATTTTAATAATACAAGAAAAAGTCAAGAGGCCATTTTTATGTATGTATGCTTTACAACTTTTATACTCAACTTTTTTTCTAGCCCTTACCCATTTTGAGTTATCTTGAAAACCCCCTTTTTTCATCCTTGGGCGGCGGTTGAACAAAGTTACTGTCACTTATTGTTATAACATTCCTCAAACTAACTCATATCAAAAATTCAGACAAGTTGACCAAAATTTCGATTTAAAGGCTTATTTAATTGGATTATAAAACAGTTTTTCAGACTTTATTTTTTTTATTCTAAAGTTAATGTTCAAATAATGTTCAAAATTTAAAAAATCGACTTAATAGCATAAGCTCAGCAAAAAAATGAGCGTACATTGTGAATCAAATATTATGTTGGAGATTTCTAGGGCAAAGCTATAAATATTAGAATAGATGAGCAGAAAGATTACATTAAAAATCGAAAATATAAGAAATAAAGAATTTTCCATCGCGCTTGGAAAAACGTAATATAATTCAATGAAGTTCTGCCAAAATTTTAGAGAAGAAAAATAAAAATTGTTATTTATTTACTGATAATTCATTTAATTTTGAACAGAGGGATATTAAAAAACCAATTTACAACCACAATAACTGCCAATATTAAAAATAAAAAAATAGTAATTTATTCCAGGAATTTAAAAAGTTTACATACTTATATTACTGAAAATGAGTTTATAAAAATTATTTGTCTGGCAAGCCTGACAATTTACATACTGCTAATGAAAAAAGCGTTATATCTTTTTAATAATCTTTATATTAAAATCTAACCTCCATTTATAATTATTTCGAAATAAAATTAATCTATAATATTTGCGAATTTCAGAGAAATCGAGATGGTCTATTTATTTTGCTAAAAGGGATCTTGAACCCAGACACAAGAAAAATTATATTATATTTCGTAAATCTTTAATGGAAAACACATTAAAATAACTTTTTGCTCATTTAAATTGTATGAAACGCAAAGTGACTATAAGAATTCTCGTTAATTTTATTATTTCTTGTACAAGAAAAAATAACAAACGTGTACCTATACCTATTCATTTCCATATCTTGTGCAGTGTACAGGGTGTAAGAAATTTGACTGCCATTACTTCAGCATGAGATAGAGTAATCATAAATGAACAAAAAAGTTGTAAGGGGCGTAGGATTAACAGTTTTCAAAATACAACGAGTGTTAATATTGGGGAGTTTCATCACAACGTGACAACAGCGCAGAACATTCTACAAAGCTGATGCACACCATGTCCAGACTTGTCCTACGGAAAAAATATAAACAGCTATTATTGTGGAATGTGAAACATTTAGTAAATTTTAAGACAATTGTTTTCCAGTTCTTAAATAAATAAAATAAAACATAGGTATCGATTTTGTAGTGAGATAGTGTTGTGCTTAAAGTTTGGTTCGAATTTTAGTAATTATGAATCTCTTAAAACAGAAACGTAACTTTTAATCAAATTATATATTTGAAAAATATGTAATTAAAGTACCGACAGATTCACGTCGTCCAAATAATCATACGTATTAAAAATACTTTAGGTACTTACAAAATTCAGTAATTTTTAAACGCACAAGTACAAAACAAACTACAACATAATATAGGTATGCTCAAAATGTCCATCACCATTTTCGATGTACGCACGACACCTTCGAATCCAATTTTCGCGCACTCGCTGGAAAACATCTCAAGAAAAAGAAATAGTGGTACGCAAAAAACACTCCGACACGGTAGAATCCTGATACCAACTGAATTGCGTATTGGCGGTTGCTGGACACCTTAGTACCGCCGCGCAGTTGTCACATTGCTCGATATGAATTTTATCGAATTTTAAAATTATTACAACGCTAATTATTTTTTAGAATTAAGCATCAAGAAGTCCAAAAAAGTGATAAACATTGTAGTTTATTGTATTCTATGCACGGAGTTATGTCAATATTCTTTAATTAATCAAACTTTTGCACATCAAGTTGGAGATTTTGATAATTATTTTCGCGGAAATGGTTGACTTTAGAACCCATGTCAAGGTTTTTTTTTTTGTTTATTTTAATGTATCCTATCGTCTGTTAAAGCAGTTAAACTTCTGACACCTTGTATATGGAATCAAAAATAACAGTCTACCATTTGAAGATATCAAAATAGAAATTTATAATTAGACAATGAATTTTTTCGTTATCTGATCCTGGCATTAATTAAATAAAACTCGAAACGCAGTCGTACTTTTACTAGCGGTATTCAACATTAAAAATAACTATTTTTAAATGCATCCGACACTTTCAGTTCAGGTAGAGAAGCTGCTATTAAAGGAAAGTGATTTATAGTTACACTAATTGGTTGTGCGCAATAGATTACACGATCACTACTTACACAAGTAGGAAAAGTCAGCCAATTTATAATTTTAATTAAATTTAAGTACTTTATTACTATGTCGGTACAATTGAGCGAGTTCAAAATCCTTCCATTTTATATTTAGCGCTTTGTGGGGTACAGTGCCGGAGAGTATGTTGCGCAAAGAGGCGATTTTTGCAACTCAAATAGTAATTTCTGTGCTCAAAGATACATTTTTAATTTTAATTGTAACAAAGACATTCTCCAAAGGAAACATATTTTTCTTAGAGCGGATTCTAGAAGAACAATCAATAATGAAACCTCGTGTGTTGTTTGACGACTTCTGTTTCATCTCAAGAAAAGGATCACTCCCATAAAAAATGTAACGATTAAGATACTCACCGGTTTGAGATCACAGTGAATGATATTCTCCTTCTGCAGCAGCCTGAGACATTTCAGCAGGGAGGTGGCAAATCTCCTGATAAGGTTGAGGCTGAATCCCTGATAGTTGTTCTTCTTTATGAGTTCATACAGATTAAGGCTGAAACGACAGAAAAAAATCTAATTAGGGTGCTGTCGGGGTAAGCTTAATTTTCTCGGACGGGGGAAAAGTTACGAGGGATTATTTTTATCTCCCTTTTAGGAGATTACCTTCAATGCTGAAGTCGTTAATTTTGACAGGTTCGTTTCCTGATGCCTAATTACTTGGTTATCGGAAATAAATTTCTAAGTTATATCTTGGAATTGAGTGGTTAATAATTAAGCAATTTGTTGCTAGAATGCCTATATATTTCATGAAAAAATCGCACATTATCCTCAAAGCTAAGCGAAAAACTTTTAGAAGAAAGGTTTTTCCTATATTAAAATTTTTTTAGCTCAAAATTTCGATGATTTTTTTAATAAAAATTATCATGGATAAAATAAAATACCCTATCACTGGTATCTTGAAATTATTATACAAGGTGTGTTCAGAAAATAACAGAACTTTATTTTTTAGACTTTATTATTAATTTTATATATTATTAGTTCTTGTCTTCGTCAAAATACTCCCCTCTCCTATTTACACACTTTTCTCAGAGGTATTTGCATTTCCAGAAGCAGCTGGATAGCTTCATTCGAAACGGCCTGTGGCGAATTTGCTTTGACGTCATCAGTAGTCTGAAAATTGCGAGCTTTCAGCACATATTTCAAAAAGTTCTGTTATTTTCTGAACAGACCTGGTATAAATTAATTTATTTATATATTAATACAAATATTTTAGCATTTATTAAATAAAAGACGTGCATTTAAACTGTTTTACAAAATACGTTGCAAAAAGGGAGATATAGGATTGTACCAATTTTGGCGAAAATTAAGAATCTTGTAGTTCCTAAAGTCGGATTTCTACACCGTATATAAAATTTGAGACTGCAAGAATCTATGTTCTCTTTCTTTTGACATGGCATACTTATTTCAATTATTTCTATCCCTAACTGCTAATATCAAAATTTTATTTTCAGAATGCATACGAGGTTATGTTTTAAGAAAACATTTTTTACAGCAGATATTTAAATGACTCTGTAGAATTTGTGTACGGGGTGATTCTAAATTAAGCTAAATCCAATAAGGGGAGTTATATCCTCATAGAAAAGATAAAAAGTTCATATTAATATGTTACATTTTCTTCATACGTTCATCTTCCTCTTAGCTGTAATCTTCATAATCCAATTATTATTATTAAATGGCTTAGTTTCAATTATTATTATTTTATTATTTAGAACAATTGTGTGTAATACTAAAAATAGTAGCAGGTTCTTGATTTTCGAATTTAGATCACTTCAAATATCAAAAAACATTTCCATTTTGAAATTCACAGAAAGTATTTTTGTCTGTTAGTTTACACAGATCTAGCAACCCAAGAATCACAAGTTAAGCTAAATCACGTTTGTTAGAGATCTAAAACTGTCTAAAAACCGTCTCTGAAAGAAATCAGACTATTTTTAGAACAACTAAAATATATCCGTTATAAAAATACATCTAATGTTTGTATAAACTAACATAGCATTGTTTAAAATTCGACGTCTTTGGAAAAATACTTACAAAAATCCGACAAATAAAAATTATTTCATGAAATAGTATTAACCTAATATAACTTATGGTTATTGCCACATAAAATTAAACCACGTAAAATTTACACCACTACAAGATTGTGATTGTAAAAAGTTTCAAACAAAAGATATCTAAAATATTAAGCGAAATAATAGAAAATCAAGTTGCCTTTGGACGTTCTTGAAGGGCTACGATTTCTGGGAATAATATAACAAAATTTCTTTCCTCGACGAATGCTACGCCATCTATTTACAACATTTTTTATACAGTGAATTAAAGTTGACTTTAAGCTGTTTCTTTTAAAATGGAACACCTAGTATATCCGCTTTATTTACGTCAGTGTGACATTTGCAAACGTACTAGCAACAAAACTATACGAATATATGTATAAGAAAAGATTTTGCGTTGTACAATCCACATTTCTTGAATTGTCAAACCATTCAACGAGAAAATTTCATGTTTAATGCAATTAGGACTCGCAGAGGTCCCAAAGCTATTGATACAAAGCGTGACCTACGGGTGAATTAATGTTTGATAGGAAAGCTTCTCCGATACTTTTATGCCTGACCTTTAACCCACCAGGGAAGACTAGAGTACACCAGAAGGAAATATTGGATGAGATTCTGAAGTAGCGACAGAGTCAACTCACGTTGGAAAAGCGTTTCGGCAGAGTGCCTCGTAAAGTGGTGGAAATTTCGTTTGAGAGAGAAAAATTTGTCTAGCTTTCGGTTTGTTAGAACAGCGTTGCCGTTGAATGAAAACTAAGTTTTGGTCTGAAGAGGTATAGATATACCTACAAGCGGGTGATATTCTTCAAAAAATAAAGACACAACTACAGGAACTACGATCAATATTTGTCTTTATCTATAAAATGAAGCGAATAAATAATTTTTTTTAAGAAAAGTTTTATTTTCTTGATGTTTGTTGATTTGGTTTTTGTGACAAAAAGGTATCTATATGTGTACAAGGTGTTTCTTAAGTATAGGTCAAAAATCCAGAGGCGTATTCTGTGGCTAAAAATAAGGTTTTTTTTTTGTTATATGAATGTGGGGTTCTTACAACAGCGATTGTCCAGCTACAGGCTGTCAAAAATTTAAAAAAAAATCATTTCTTAATTTTTAATTTCTAAACCGCTTGAGATAATTTAACCAAATTCGATGTGCATATTTAGTATGACAATAGGTATGAAACAAAAAATTACCAGCTTTAGAAACTTTAGAAACCAGTGGCGGTATTATCGATCATTATTTGCCAAAAAAATAAATCACCTTGTATAATATTACAAATAAAATAGGTCATCATTTGCGCCATTGTATTATCTTCACTTTTTGTTTCTTTACACTTTTTTGTATTCCAAACCGATTAACAACAAAATAGATTTATTTGATAAAGTGCATTTTTACACAGCTCTGCTAATGGTAAGTTTCTAAAGCTGGTAATTGTTTGTTTCATACCTACTGTCATACTAAATATTTACACCGAATTTGGTTAAATTATCTCAAGCGGTTCAGAAATTAAAAATTAAAAACTGATTTTTTTTTTAATTTTTGACACGCTGTTGCCGGATAATGGCTGTCCTAAGATCCCACATTTATATAAAAAAAAACTTATTTTTGGCCACAGAATACGCCCCTGGATTTTTGACCTCTGCTTAAGAGACACCTTTATAAATATGTACCTAAATGTGTCCAATTTTGATAAAATAACATTTAGTATAGGTAATAAAGTAAACAGTTATTAGCCTGTAAATACAGATTTAAGTCTATAAATACATACTTTTAAATACAGCGGTGTACTTTCGCGAACAATCCAAAACATTAGAAACAGCCTTTTATTTTTTCTCACATTTTTCTTGTTAGTGGAGACTTTTAGAAAACGAAAGTGTTTTTGTACGTTATCTGAAGTACAAAACTAAAATAAATTTTTCTCAAAAATGATGTATTTCAGTGATATGCAACAATTACATTTTGTTTACAACATATCAATTTTTTTTCTAAATCTCTATGAAAATATGGCAAAAAACGGATCATATGGGAAACCTTATGTAATAAAAGTTTCTTTGTAGCTGTTTTTGATATTTAATCTTTCTACAGTGTTAATTATAGGAATGTATTATTTTTTCTTTTCCTTTTTTTTAACCAATATTATTGATGCTATTTATTAAAAAAAAAAGGATTTTTAAACTTAGGAATATTGTATAATGTACACAGGCTTTGAACAAGTTATAGCGTATATAGGTACAGATAGTATAAAAGAATTTTTGTATGATTTATGTCAATTCAAAGCACGTGTAAAATAAATTTCACCATTTTTTTAAAGACTACATTAGCAGGATCCGAAGAATGGGCTATAACGCTGATAAATGGCGACATCTCCACTTCCTAGTTATTTTGTAAAAGGCAAGATATTCGCAATAAGATAAACAAAATGTGTAGAGGACAATATAAACTGTCATGCCTTTCACAATATTTTATGTTTTGTATAATTTTCAGATATATTCCGAAAATGTTCTTCTCGTCTTAAATGATTAAGATGTTTCGTAACCTTTAATTATGTTACTATTATTATGTTAGCATTAGAAAGTATATAAATATTTATACGAGTAATTAATTGAAGAAAAAGTGAATATTCGTTAATTACAATGTGAAACTACTAATACACAGAGTATTTTAAATAATTAAATTAAAAAAATCAATTCAATTCAAAATCAAATTTGACACCCAGTGGTGACATGGTCGAATTGATGAAAGCAATTCGCTTCGTTGGCTGATTGATATAGCCCAGTCGGGCTGTCATTTAACCGGGAAAAAATTAGGGACCACAATTTTATTGTTCTAACCTTTAGGGGAGATCAATAATAGTGTAAATTCAGAATCGCGACTGAATTCCACCCCTGCGTCAGCCGCCATCTTGAATTTAAGGAAAAATCGTTTTTGCTCAATATTTCGGCCATTTTCAACTTTACAACAAAAATGGTAAGGACTTAAGTTGTTGCAAATGCGATTTCCTACAACTTCTTTTATTACAAATTTTATCGTGCGATCGATATTTTTCAAGTTAAGGGGGAAAATAGTGACAAAGTATAATTATTGAATTATCTCGTTTGTTATTGACTTTACGACATAAATATACATAAACAAAGTTGGAAAGAATTATATTTTCTACAATTTTGATCTCTTTGATTTTTTCGCTACTACCAAAATTTAAGGTCCTACGCCTATGGCAAGCCTAACTAAACTCAAGGGATCAACATTCCATAGGCCTGACGTCTCCGCAAGCGTAGGACCTTAAATGTTGGTAGTAGCGAAAAAATCAAAGAGATCAAAATTGTAGAAAATATAATTCTTTCCAACTTTGTTTATGTATATTTATGTCGTAAAGTCAATAACAAACGAAATAATTTAATAATTATACTTTGTCACTATTTTCCCCTTTAACTTGAAAAATATCGAT